TTCTTGCAAAAGTAATTGTAATTTGTTTCGTTTTAAATTCAATACCTACATGTACGTTATCTATATCCTCTTGAAAGACAAATATTTGATAAAAAGTGATTAAAAACTGTCTGTTGAACAATTGCATTCTTTAAAAACAGGTGATTAACGGCATATAGATGTATTCCCTAATAAATATAACAATTTACTGAAATTTTGACAGCAAAAGTTAAGCACAGATTTTTGTATCGACAAATCAAATAAAAAATGAGTTCCCATGCTCGTTCTGGTTCTCGTCAAAATGTAGCATAGATTGCACATTGTCCAAAATTCACATTCAAATATATGTTCGCAGGAAAAAAGTTTATTGAATGAAATTTACTGATCAACATAAAATACACATTTTCAACACAATAATCTTTGCATTCAATAAACCGGTTTTAAAATATTTTGGTCTTTTTAATATTTAAGTCTACATCTTCCCGTTTTATGTTTTAAAAAAATATAGATATCGTTGAGACCATTCAGACAATAAAATCGTTGTAACGTATAGGGTCAACGGACAAATACTAGTAAATGATCCTCAGCAATTCTGTCAGACAAGCCAAACATCATTGAACTACGTTCTGGAATAGATTTGACACATTACAAAGTATTTCGCTCCTCAGCCAGATTTAAATGAAATCAGACAAATCAGTTTATTAGCTCTACTTAATTTAAAAGGATAGAAAATGACTACATTATATGTATGTTCACGTTAACTTGTGGCGTGTTCCATGAGACAACATAACTTGACATTCCTAAATTATCTCTCTTTGCGAACGAAAATTAGTGTCACTTTTAAATTTTGAAAATAATTATGGATCTAGATAGATAAAAAAATAATTTCATCATCTAAATACTTATAGCTTGATATTGTATTTAAGTCCTTGGTTTATTCGTGAAATATATTGGATACATAAGTAACAAAACAAACTTAACAAGCTTAGATTGTCATATAAACTTGCTTGTGGGTGCGCTGCTTCCTGAACAATTTTTGTTTTGAGTGTTTCCACGTATAATGTTGGTGTTTACACTAATATAAACTTGACTTTTGACATAAACATACAGTGTACATCACTTAACATCAGACTTGAACACGCATGTTAAATGCTGAACGCATATGCAGCTGGGGAATCCCCGTGACGTCACTGGGAAACACCCCGCTTTTTCAATCTCTAACACAAATGAGTTCTCTGTCAGAGTTACGACAGGTATCGTAACTCTGAACGATCTGCGACAGGTTTACGATAGTTTCGAAAATCTATCTTATCTTAACCTTAAGATATCTTATCTTTGAACGTAAGTTGTTAAGATTTATCTTAGCTACGATCGTTTCGAAAATCTAGGCCCAGGAGGTTCCACAGGGCGGTATTTTGTGTAACATTGTTTAGTTTAAAAATAAATAGTTTATTTAAAGTATTAAATGACTCAATTGATGGATCATTGTTTGTGGATGACGTTAATATTTCATGTCGTGGTAAAAATATGCGTACCATTGAAAGACAATTCCAGTTGTGTCTTCATAAAATTCATAAATGGTGTCTTGAGAATGGATACAACTTTTCACAGACAAAGACAAATTGTATACATTTCTGTCGGAAATATAAACCCCATACAGACCCAGAGCTCTTTTCAGATGGCACTCCAATAAAGAAGCCAAATTTTTGTTTGGGTTTGATCTTCGACCACCAATTGACATTTTTTGCCACATATTAAATATTTAAAGACAAAATGCCTGAAGGCCCTATATTTGTTGAAAGTCGTCTCAGATTCTAAGTGGGGAGGGGATCAGACAACTCTCCTTCACTTATACAGATCATTAATCCGCTCTAAGTTGGACTATGGCTCCATTGTGTATGCTGGAGCTTACAAAAGCTAGATGTAATCCACCATCAAGGACTTAGAATGTACCTTGGTGCTTTTCCTGTTGACAGCCTCTATGTCAAGGTTGATGAACCCTCTTTGAAACAACGCGGTATTAAGTTATCTCTTCAATATATCACTAAATTACACTCAAACCCTTCATATCCTGCCTATAACTCCGTTTTTCATCCCCTATATGAAGAACCGTTTCAGAGAAAACCAAAGCTCCCTCACTTGGAATTTTATGTTATTACTGCTGATATAGATTTAGATATTATCTCTCCTTGCCGACTTTTGTCTTCTCCCTGGCAGTTGGTGAGGCCAGAAGTAGACATTTCCCTCACACGTTTTATAAAATTTGAAACTAATCAACTGGTATATCAACAGGAATAGTTGCAATTTAGAAATAAATACGACCCTCACCGTTCAATCATTACTGATGGATCCAAGGACGCTCTATTTTTACAGGGGGCACGGGTGGCCTGGTCGTCTAAGGCGCTGCGATTCGCTGTGCAGAGTTGCCTCCCTTGGGCACGCCAGAAACCTATGATTGTGATTGAATCCCGGTTCGCCCCGATTATGTTTCTAGGTTTGTCATCACCATACCCGTGCTCGTAGGTTTCACCGAAGTGGTAAACGTCTGAGACTTGCATCACTTCGGGCTTTCCTCCCACATTAAGCTGACACGCCATGGTATAACTGGAATACTGCTAAAAGTGGCGTTAAACCCAACTCACTCACTCTATTTTTACAGCGGACGCCAATGCTATCCTCACAGCCTTAGTATAATTTTTTTTTAAACATATAAACAATTTATCATCTTTTCTTATTCTTTATCTTGTTTATAAATCACAAAAAAAAATATTTTAGGTATTTTAAAACTTTAAAATGATCTTTCAACTGGCCAATACGACATCATCTTTTGTTGATTGCCCAGTCATGTGGGCATAAAAGGCAAAACAATGGCTTCTAAAGCAGCTCTCAACAAATCTGAGACGTCACTTCTAATTCCATACAGTGATTATAAACCTGTGACCAGATGTTACATCTGAGATCTTATGCACAAGAAGTGGGACACCCAAGTAGGTATCAATAGATTACATCAAATTAAGCCAACTGTCGGTTACACCTGCATGGGTTGTCAGTCCAGATTTGAAGAGGTTATTTTACGACAATGTCGTATTGACATTCAAGATATACACACACATATCTATTGAAAGGTGAAGATCCTCCGTTTTGTATCCCTTTTGATGAGAGAATCAGTCAAGCACATACTGCTTGACTAAATTGATTTTGCCATTACAAGGGATCAATATTTCAAAGTTTCATCCATAAAGGATTCTTTTTATTGATCTAAGTTCTTTTTTAATCATAGGTTTTTTAAAAGAAATAGAATTAATTGATAAATGTTGATGTACATAGATATTTTTTACGAAATGGTTGTATCATTTATTAACCTAGATTGTTTCTGGCTGTGTCCTCGAGGGGGGTTGAATTGGCATAAAATCATTGTCCTCCTGAGAGGGTGTCATAAGACCAAATCATTCACAGCAATATATTTACAATATTAGAGCCTCATCCTGTCAGCAAAATCACAGCAATATATTTTAGACCTTCATTGTATCAGCGATATTAAAGCTTCGTCATGTCATCAAAATTAGAGCGTTATCATATTTACAATATTACAGCTTCGTCGTGACAAAATTACAGTTACATCATGTGACAAAAATCACAGCTTAATCATGTGACAAAATCACAGCTTAATCATGTGACAAAATCACAGCTTAATCATGTGACAAAATCACAGCTTCATCATGTGACAAAATTATAGCATTATCATAATTACAATATTACAGCTTCAACATATCAGCAATATTAGTATTTCAGCTTCATCATGTCAGCAAAATTACAGCTTTATCATATAAACAATATTACGGTTTCATCGTATCAGCAATATTTCAGCTTCGTCATGTCAGCAAAATTACAGCTTTATCATATTTACAATATTACAGCTTCATCGTATCAGCAATATTACAGCTTCGTCATGTCAGCAAAATTACAGCTTTATCATATTTACAATATTACAGCTCCTTCAAACACTACAGCATTATCATGTGACAAAATCACACCTTCATCACGTGAAAAAAATCACAGCTTCATCACGTGACAAAATCACAGCTACATTATGGGACAAAATCACGGCTTCATCACGTACTCAGAAACTTCCCTTGTGTTAAAGGGCAAGTTCCCAGGAAATGAACCTATTTTTCGTGTACTTTTTCCACATTAAAAGTGTTAACCTAGTAGTGTCATAGACAAAAATATAAAAATATCACAATTAATTAACATATTTTTTGCATTAAAACGATTTATATTTTTCACATTTACCAAGTGTTCTATTTCCAGAACAAAAACTACATGGCTTATGCCCCTTGCAATATGACGTCATTGGTGCCAATTGATAAACATTATGACGTCATCATGCTTTGTTAGAGCCGCTTCACGTGGTGTAGGTACAGGTGTGTGATTCTAGCGTCTCAGATGCCAGCCAGCATAGTGTTATGCTGAGTCACCACTGCGCCGGAGTGTGTCGTAGGCCATGTTGTTTTACCGCAAACTGGTACTTGATATCTTTTGCGTTGAGAATAGACAGGGACCCAGTTGAATTGGCACCAATTACGTCATAATCTAAGGGGGATAACTCTGGCCTGTTTAGCTCGAAAAACGAAGGCCTCATAACGGCATAGCATTTTCACACTATTGTGAGCTTCCTACTTTTACTGTGAAAAAAATAAGTTTATATTTTCAAACACAGATACTAACTAATTCTAAAATTGCGTTTTGTTTAGAAAAAGAAAGAAAGTGATTTTTGCGTGTACACTTCCCCTTTAAGAAACCAATCTGCATATTCTGAACCAGGATCCCATATGTGGATAGAAGGAAAATACTACATATTAAAACGTTCCCAAAATCCACGCAAAATGCAAATAGAAGAAAGAATAGTCCATTGTACGATTCCGACTATATCATACACAGCTTTTTGAAAGCGTTACTAAGGCCTTGAGTGTTGTAACTCTGCTCGTTGAGCGAGAGAGGCATGACACTCTTTTAGTACAGTTAATATTGTCTATAACGCCTGCGTCAGGGTTTCTTGCTCTCTGTCGTCCATTGCTAGATCATCTTTGTTGTCTTGTGGAATGAATGCTCTGGCCAATCTCTGGATAAAAGTTGGTAAACAAAAAGTTCGTAATTCAATATGTGCATGCATGATTTTATTGCAAGTATAGTTCAAGTATTGAACTTTCTCACATATAAGGTATTCGTTGTTTTGGAGGGTGTAACATTAAACATTAGAAGACATTGAACATCGCAAAATCAGCATTCAGCCACAAAATACAAAATACAAAACAAAGGGAGTTTGTTGTTTAACGCTGCACTCAAAAATATTCTAGCTATATGACGGCGGTCTGTAAATAATCAAGTCTGGACCAGACAATCCAGTGATTGACAACATGAGCATCGATCCATGCAATCGGGATACGATGACATGCATCAACCAAATCAGCGAGCCTGACCACCCGATCCCGTTAGTCGCCTCTTACTACAAGCATGGGTTGCTCAAGACCAAGTCTTACCCGAGATGTTCTTTTTAATAGTATACAACTGGACATATAGTCGAAATAGTCGAAATATAGAACAGATTCCTTCAGTACTTTAAATGGGCGGATACAGAGGGGGGGGGGGGGGGGGGGGTGCGGTAACTTGAAAATGTTACCTGCTTGACTGATGTCCCATCTGACTTCCAAACAGAGTAGACCATCCAACCTGGGGTCGGTAGAACTATGGCTACAGACATAAGCCAGCCATTCACAGTTGCCCATTCAGGATAGAAGTAGTCACCATATTTTGGAGGACGGTACACGTAGAAGGCGTATACTAGTATAGTCTGGAAACGATTTTTTAATAAGTCCTTTATACTATTCTCACAAGCACAGCCCATCACATAAACTTCAATAAATGCCGAACAAGATGGGATATTTCGCGAACGAGCTAAATGATTCAGAGATTGTCGTTCGTGAAGGTTGTAGTTCCTCGCAAAAGTTATTCTCTACATTAACTTGTTGACGAGCAATATGTATACATCTATTGCACGATGATACAATAAAGATAATGGACTGTATTATGCCACAGAGTGAGTTTGACCAATCAGAGAGAAGAACTACTAACCCCCTTTGAGACCGCATACCGTCAGTAACAGCACTCTTGTTTCCAACACCCATCTCACAAATTTCCCATGAAAATTCTACACAGCTTTGTGCTTTTAAATCATTAACTGTAACGTGCAAGGACATTATTTATAAAGAAGTATAGTTAAATGTCAACACCGTTTGGTCTCTAAGGTTTGAAGAGTAGTCTCCCTTTGACCCGTAACGTCAACGATTGTTAGTGTCAAGTTTTGACTTTGACATGATAAAAGTAGTGTAAACTCGTCGGCATAATAAATTCGTTGTGGTATCTTTAGTTGTCGTAAACTGTGTCATATTAGGTTAACAGGATATTTGTCTGCACACCTAATATGACACTGTATACTGTAACTTAAGACACCATAATTAATCATATATCGCCAGCAACTAAAGTAATGCTGTCGTACCAGAGACCGTGGGGACGTACAGTCACTCTTCCACCTGCACGGTACATATCATCCCTCTAACTGCTGGCGATTTTTGGCAAGAATGACCATAGATTAAAACGGACAAATACACTAGCATGATAGGTAAGCACAAACATAACTGAAAAGGCGTGGAACACTCTCAATGGACAATACCCTACGAGGGCACAGCAATTTACACTCTCATTCAAATTGCTTTGAAATATCATGTATCTGCATGAATGTTTGCAGCGGTTAAAAGATCCGTAAGTGATGTTGCGTTGACATATTTAGCCCCTGTGTTGTAAAACACAACACAGTCAAGTACAAAATGCATGTCTTGTGTCATCACAAGGGATAGACATGGATGATCCTCACCTTTCAACAATTGGTCATGTGGATTACGAGAATGTTCAATCGTAGAATGGGCTTCTCAAATCTGGACTGAAAACCTAAGTAGGTGAAACCAATTGTTGGTTTAATTTCAGGACTGACATGGGTACGATGTGTGAAGCCCATTTCTGCTGTCCCCCGCCGTGATATTGCTGGAATATTGCTTAAAGCAGCGTAAATCCATACTCACTCACTCACTCATTTTAGGAATTGTAATAAAATCTATTTGGGTGCCCTCTTTGTTTGTCTTAGATCTCTGATGTAACATCTAACAACATGCTTGTAATTTCTGTATAGGATAAGAAAGAAAAAACGTACACATGTTATCTCTACAAGGTCAATTCAATGAAGACATATAGTCGCAACGTTACATTTGAACTCCCATTTTGTTGTCAACCTACTGTTCTGATGGCCTAATGTTTTCACTTGTGACGTCAAGAACAGTAATTGTGTAACACAATCGTAATGGGTCCAGGCGACGTCATATTTCTACTGACCAGTCAGCATTGGGAAACACCAAGATGGGAAAGGAGTTACTTGAACGTGGAACGACATTGTTGTCAAGCAACTAATCTGATGATGTAATGTGTTTTCTTTGTGACATCATAGACACTGATCGTATTGGAGGAACCTTCAACTGACCATTCACAATCAGGAATCTCTAAGGTGGGTTATTATTGGAAAGTCATGACACTCGGTCAAGAAGGAAATAGTTGTAACGCCTCACCATCAGCAGGCCAGGAGTGATGTACTTTATGAGGAACGTCAACCATCTGGGAATTGTTTTACCATACATCTCCACTGTGCACATGTCAAGTCTGATCACACCTGTAACGAAGACGTAGACAATGTTATAGACACGACAATGTGCACATGGATTCAACGAGTGTGCCGGGTGACAGGTGTCGTCATTAGGTTGTTGTTTCTTTTCTGTTTCAGATACCATCAGTTACATAAAGGTGCAAGATTTGGCAGACGTTTGTTTTATTATAAACATATAGTAGTTATGCCGCTGATGTCCTCTGTAACATATTTTGGTCACGTGTTACTTTAGGTCTGCCAGCCTATCGGTATCGCACCATTGCTTCCTTTAATGACATTCTTGAAGTTTTGAAATGTGTTTTGAAATGTGTTTTGAAATATGAATTTTACGAAACTCTTTTCATCTATCATTTCTGGAAAAATTAGTGATTGATTTCAAGGAGGTCTTACCAACCACCCAGGCCAGTACCAGACACTCCACCACCCCAAACAACATCACGGGAGGGACAGCGGAGTACCAGTCTACGAGGGTCAAGAGATAGATACCACCCTGCGAGGAGAACGTATACACGATACCAATGGAGAACGTTGAAGATGAAGGTAGTCATGTGTACACGCAAGATATATTTCAGCTGAATAAGAGATTAAGTTACAAACGTTTGATCAGGGTTACAATTCAAGGCCTTGGTAAAGCTTTTAAAATGTTTCATTCAAGACATTTGGAGAACATTTCGAAATCTGACGCATCCGTGACCAAAATGTCCGATGCAATTCCCGTGTGAAGACTTGAAGTGCCTTTGCATGTGTGTGCGGCGGGTGCCACCGGCTAGACAGAATACGCTCACCTGGTGTCATCACTATTTGATAGGGATTAAGAATTGCATATTATATGTCAGAATTGTACAACAGACTCGTCTACTTAGCATTATAGAAAGGTGTTGTCACTTTTGTTTAATTAATTAAACGTAATTGGTTATTATGTAACAATACACTAACAAAATTCAACGTTGGTAAAAGATGATACAAGTTGCCCATACGCATTTGTTGCACAAGATACTATGTAATGTGGGTAACCCTTCGAGATTTGTGGTAATGAGAGAACACACACTTCATACACATATGTACTTAACATGGACTGGTTTAGAAGTGGGCGAGCGAGTCCAAATTTGATGCTCCGTTTAACAGCCACAAAGCGACAACAGTAAGGTAAATAGGAATATAAACACATTGGATAGATAAATATATAACATATTTTTTAAAGAAATGTCAACTACGCTAGTCGCATGTTATTTAAACAATATTCACGGTTTATGAAAAAGACCGACTTCTTAAAGAACTTTAAAAATGCATAGATTATCCGAACCACTGTGGCAATAAATTTCATGAGAATCGAAATTTGCTGTTGGTATGATCAAATTGGCTTTACACGTTTGCTGCTGAAGATGTCATGTCATGTGGGTGATCACCCTTAATGGGTTGTGCTAAAAATAGCTCATATACATTATGCGCATTATCATGGCCTTATTATAAGTGACGAGTGAATAGGAATACCTGTGTAGTGTACGGGAGAGTCAGAAGGAAAGAGGGAATAAAGACGAGAAGGAGAAGCAGCCACCGGTGTCTGGTCAGCTTAGGGAACTGGTCAGAAAGTGTCTCCGACAGTATCTCCAAACTCGGCATCTGTGAAACAACAAGAACCTCGACAACTGACCGTTTCATAACTGTAAATACGCAACAAATATATAAATATATAGATTGTTCCCTGTTCACTGTTTCCTGTTCCCTGCCAGCAGCTAAATAATTTATCATTATTCATTTACTTCTATTTTATATTCATTTCCCTGAGGGGGAATGTAAGCTCAAGTCATTCAAAGAATATTTATGTTTACCACCGTTTTAAATCGCATTTTAGATTGATGACTAACATTGCGTGCAATCGCCAACAACTGGAGTGATGGTATAAATCATGCTAGGGCACGGAGCAGGAAGCAGAAGTCCCACCGTCCCTAGTATGGTTGCGCAGTTTGGTTACTGGCGATCTATAGCCCATTTCTGTATTGTGCTGTTAAATGATATCTTATACTTTTACATGGTCTCAAACTAGTTCTAAATAACATATTCGATAATCTAGTTATTGTACTGTCCTTCGATGACAGGATTTAGTAAATCTAACTCTATATGTTATTACTGTATAATTTTGCCTCGTCACAAAATGACCGAAATATTGCCGATGTGACGATATATTTTAACTCACTCACTCACTAAATTGATTTGTTTTCTTTGTAATCTCTTTCTTGAAAATGTTCTTATATTTATATATTTCTGTATCAAGGTATATCTGTATGGATCAGGGCCAAAACAATATAATTTATAATAGTTCTTTTTACCGTTGTATCAAGGCCCAACGTCATCATCATCACAAAGACCAGCACCGACCACAACTGGGGCAAAGGGAGATAAGTCACTGCTTCCGGTAACACTGAGAATGCCAGATTCAGACCTGAAACGAGTTGAGAGAATGAGTTGGTTGTATTATCATATTGTAATCCTCCTACACTGACATTCAATACACTATGTAAACAGGTTTTAGTATAAGTGCTGTCTCGTGAACATCTGGGTTAGTATTGATCTTCAACAACCCATGCGTGCTTGTTGTAAGAGGCGAATAACGGGATCGGGTGGTCAGGTTCGCTGACATCCTTGATGCATGTCATTGTAATCCAGTTGCACTGATCGATGATCAGCGATATCAATCACTGGATTGTCTAGTCCAGATTTCATTATATACCAACCACCGTCACATGGGTGGAATATTTTAGAGTGCGTCGATAAACAGAAAAACAAACAAACAAAATGCTATATAATTAACACAAACAAACCTGATGACTGGAAGTCGTCCATGTCGATCCCGGTCACGTAAGCCATGTGCCCTAACACCGTGAAGATAGACAGTCCACAGAAGATGGTGATCAGAGGGTCCACGACGCAGGCGATCAGAGCCAGTCTGGTGAAAAGATGTCGGTATACTGTGACATGAATCAGCTCTTTTGTCACTCTGCTTAATTTCCGACAGTAGTAACTACGGCACTGTAGTTCACCTGGACATGTAGTCAACAGCTTAAAATATCAAATTAAGACATTTTAAAACTTATATATACAAATATATAAATACATAAATAAACTAACACTATAATGGAATGTGTCTTTGTTTCTTGTTTTATGCCGCTCTGAGCAATCGGACCCCTCAACCCAACTCAAAGACGTGTCGACTTCGGTTAGAAATTGGTCCCAGTGGAGGCGTCGTAAGATGCGTCTAAGTGGATCGGGAGTTCATCCTAGGTGACTCTTGGTTGTCGTTAAACAACACACACACACAGAGAGAGAGAGAGAGGGAGAGAGAGAGAGAGAGAGAGAGAGAGAGAGAGAGAGAGAGAGAGAGAGAGAGAGAGAGAGAGAGAGAGAGAGAGAGAGGATCCCAAAGAATATTCTTTATGTAAACAACAGATACTGGTCCAGGTAACCCGGTGATATAAATATTGCGAGTGCGGGTCAAATATAACAAATATCACACAGGTCTATTTAAATACTCACCTGTAGCAGTTGCTGTTTGGCTGGTTGTGACTGGACACTGTATTCGCAATCCCCTTACTGGTCCCCATGGAATGAAGAGCGTAACCACAGGCCTCGATCCACATCTGTGGAGAAGATGAAGCACAATGCATACAACATACGTCCTGATATATCTGTAACATTGCTAAGTTTGTGGTTCAACAAGACACTAACAACAACAAAGAACACTGAAAACGTCTCACATATCTAAACATGTTGAAACTAGTAACTTATTCCATCGTTGTTGAAAATAAAGTTCTGAACCTACTGTGGGACTTTTCAGCTTTCCAAAGTCTGGTTTGATCATGTACAGAAGTCCGTCTAGTGCCCCTGGCAACAAGGACCCACGGATGAGTATGACGGTACACAGGATGAGGGGTAACATAAATGTCACGTACACAATCTGAAAGTGAAATATAGCTTTTTTTAAGTACATTAAATTATTGGTTGGTTTATTGTTTAACGCCGCACTCAGCAATATTCCAGCTATATGACGGCGGTCTTTAAATAATCTAGTCTGGACCAGACAATCCAGTAATAATATCATGAGCATCGTTCCACGCAATTGGGATCGATGACATGCATCAACCAAGTCAGCGAGCCTGACCACCCGAGCCCGTTAGTCGCCTTTTACGACAAGCATAGTCACCTTTTACGGCAAGTATGGGTTGCTGAAGACCTTTTCTACCCCGGAATCTTCACGGGTCTAAATTTAATTAAGAATTTGTATATCGCATTTTCCAATTAACTCCTGCTTAAATGCCCTTGGATCATGACTGATCTTGTCAAAGGCTCTCTTAAAGAGACAGATGTCGAGTGTCTTTTTGAAATTGTCAGATTTTCTGTCTCTCTGATATTTTGTGGCAGATTGTTCCATAGCAATGGGCCAGCATGTTGAAATGACCTATCGCCATATGTTTTTGTACGTGACTTTGGCACCACTAGGAGATTTTGATTGGAGAACGTGCAGGCTTGTGTGATACTATCTGTTTCTGTAAGTCTGCAGGAGCCAAACGATGCATTTTCCTAATTTTCCTTTCTACATATCCGCATGTAGTTCCCTTGATCACTATTAGAAGCGACATCTCCCAACTTTCTAATAAATCATGCGAAAGCCATTTACTACATCAGGTGTCATTAGCCTAATCCTGGAAACATTAATCTATGGCAAACCATTTCAAGGAAAGTGATTAATTAACAAATAAACTGAATTCAAATTAACGTCAATTATGTATTGAAAAATATCCTTTCTTAAAAACACCAATGAAGGTTAAGAATGAATGGAAAATGAATACGGTGTATTTCCGATCAATTGTTTAACAGTACCTTCCCCGTCACTCGAATTCCTCTGAGCAGCATGAAATACATGGCTACATAGGTCAAGACCAGACATCCAAACAATGGCCACCGAATGGAACCTGCATGGTCGAGACCATTCGAGATTTCCAGTGCATTAAATCTGTAACAGATATGTTCAATATCGACACGTCTAGTGCATTAAACCTGTAACAGATATGTTCAATATCGACACGTCCAGTGCATTAAACCTGTAACAGATATGTTCAATATCAACATGTCCAGTGCATTAAACCTGTAACAGATATGTTCAATATCAACATGTTCAGTGCATTAAATATGTAACAGATATGTTCAATATCGACATGTCCAGTGCATTAAACCTGTAACAGATATGTTCAATATCGACATGTCCAGTGCCTTAAACCTGTAACGAATATGTTCAATAATATTTAACAAAACGTATTTGATCAGGAACAGCTAACTGCAGTTGTTACAGGCCAGTAGGGATTCAGAGTTGGAATACAACATTAGCAACCTAGGCGAATAAGTGGATCATTTTTAACCACCCATAGCAAAATATTATACTAGTATATAAACCAGATTTGCTATGTGACAAAAAATGATTATTTCCTTACCCACGCAATCTATCTTACAAACAATTTTGTTATCTTAAAAGTTAAGTGGATATTGCATACCACCAGTTCAAAAATAACTGGTTGAGTATTTTTGCCGAAAGATATGCAAATTGTTTGTAAAAATCAGAGAGTGCGTTTGGTGCAGCGCGGGATATCACCAAGGCTCAACTATTGTGCGTAACCTGCCTCCAGAATTCTTCAGTGGCACTCGCAACACTGACGCCATCGGTGGATCCATTCAGGTGACCCGACTGTGTCGTGTTAATGGCAGCTCGCAGTGGAACCGTGCCATTCACTGTGGTGTTCATCCCTTGGTGCCCATACAGCGTCGACTCCACGCAGCTGGGCGTGTTCCAGGGGTTGCCACAGGTGGACCAGGGCAGGGGGTTGAAGAAGGAGTTGAAGAAGTAGTAGAGATACCAGGAGAAGTACATGGACGTGTACATGGCGTACACCCACGACACCAACGCCGACCCAAAGCCCAGACCTGATCGAATGACACAGATTATCGATGATGAGTCGACAAATTAATTTTCATCTGCGAAATTGAGACAGAATAGGTTTGCAATACGTATTCCAAAAAAGCATTTAAACATATTTTTGAACCCACAATGTACCTTTTAAAACATAAAGGAAACAAATTATTTTGCGGGGTAAAACCCGAGAAAGAACTTTTCGAGCATTTGAGGAAACAGAATAATTTTTTTTCAAAAACTATAGGCCCCTTATAATGTGCTGTAATGACTGATTGAACAAAAGTCAAGCTGAATTTGATACAAATGCACCTTGAAGCTGTCCATTCTGTGTTTATTTTATTTCATGCTTGTTGTTCAACGCCACGCTTAGCAATATTCCAGCTGTCTGTAAATAATGTAATCTGCACCAGACAATCCACCAATTTAGCGATCCTGACCACCCGTTCCCGTCAGTCGCCTCTTACAAGCATAGTCGCCTTTTACGACAAGCATGGGTTGCTGAAGTCCTGTTCTACCCCGGATCGTCACAGGTCTTATTCTGTGTTTCATCAAGTATGATCATCATTAAGGCAGAAATTAGATGCAAAGATTGTTCATACTCAAGACCTGGTATTTACAAAATTTACGTTACTCAATAAGAGTGAGAGAGTGAGTATGGTTTAACGCCGCTTTTAGCAATATTCCGGCAATATCACGGCGGAGGACACAAAAAATGGGCTACACACTTTGTACCCATATCGGGAATCGAACCCGAGTCTTCGGCGTGGCGAGCGAATGCTTTAACCACTACCCGACCGCCACTACTAAATTAGAATACTTTTGGACCAACTGTACATGTTTTACTCTTATCACCTCTATTCACCATACGATGTGACACAATTGTGAGACTGACTGAAAAGCTTAACATTTCCGTGCAGTGAAGTGTAGTTGTCGATCCCAAGTGGTGAGAACAAATTTGTAAATTTGTTTCGTAATTAAAATTACATATGGCTTATTTTTGATACCTGGAACACACATGAAACCCTTATTGGACTACAACACCAATACAAAATGTCATGTCAATCAAATCACATTACATTCAAATCTCAGTGCGCACTAACGCTACACAAAGATCTGTGCACACCCGTTATGTTTACAAGTCGAAAACGTAACAAGTTTAGAGGATATGTCATGCAAAACTTCGAAACAGAAAAGTAATATAATTATTACTTAAGGCCATCTACCTCAAGTCCTTTCCAACAACAACATACACAAACACAAAATGCTCATTTTCCCACCAAAAACGCTTCACGATGTTCACCTATTACTTCCTTCTCGCAGACAAAAAAATCAGTAACATAGAAATAGTGAAAATAAAACTAATGAGTGCATCTTAATTTACTCGAAATAAATTTATATAAAATCATCACAATGTAAATACCTTTCATTGCTGGACAAAATTTCCACACCTCAACAGGACCCCTCTGGTAGTACTGCCCGATGACGACCTCCAGGAAGTATAGCGGGAGAGAACAGAGACCCACAAACACCAGGTAGGGAATCAGGAAGGCTCCTGAGAAAAGGACCACATTCATCTGTGTGTGAGTAGGACTTTCCCACGCTTTTAAGGATTACTCTGTGTGGGGAATTGAACCTCCAAATTGGGAGTGATGAGCGAAACTTTATCTTATAAGCCACCAAATGTCTCATTTGATAACTAGAGTATTCAGAATACAGTTAACGACGGTAAAACGAACTAAAAGGGACCACTGATTTTAGTTCGTTACATCCTTCAGCTTGATGTAAACGTAGTTTACTGTATATATGCAGGTTTCATTCAAGTAGGCTATATGCAAGTTTCATTTCAAATTTTTCCATCTTGCAATTTAAACCACAAGAGATTTGTAAAGTAATTTGAATAAGGATATAGTACCGATGTCGTCTTTCAAAAGCATGATTGTATATTTCTTGTTTATATTCGTCTCGGAAATTATGAAAATGGATGTTACTTTCAGCTTACTCCTGAGATATTTCTGACAAATATTCGTCACACAATACAGCTTTCACAGGACTCCAATAAGCTTTGAACGTTTTGCCTTTGTTTTCTGTGGATGCACGGTTCCCCCTTAAAAATCTAAGGTGTCTATCCTGTTGGTGTTGTCATTCATCCTGTGACACATGCATGCGTATTGATCCTGTATACGTACCTCCGCCATTCCTTGCACAAAGATAAGGGAACTTGAGCAGAGTTCCCTCCCCTACACTGTATCCCAACATGGTGATGATGCCATCCACTCGATGGCCCCACGTCTCTCTTTTGTCTGCAAGCATCATATGCATCACATCTTTAGAGAGCACTTGCTTCTTTGTCTCGTGTGGTGTCACTGAGTTTCGTTTGATCTGTTTCCTTATGCATATGAATCGGAATGTCTGCTCGGATTGGCAAAATGAAAACCTGTGAGGCTCAATTCATGCTCCAGGTATATAAAAGACTGATATCTTTCAAAAATTATTAAGTAGCATAGTCCCTTCCACTGACTTAGGCAACTGAACTTGAAATAAAAGAGACCATTGGAACCGCCTCATCAGTTTCATAATTAAAATTTAGTGATATGCTTACAGATTCAGAGTGACGAAGTATTCACAAGACTGTGAGGGAGCAACCATTTCATTTTCAGGAAAGGATTTGGGTATGTGATCAACTTTTGTTTTCTCAATGTTTAGGAGCTCTCTCATGTTTTGCAAAATAAACGTGATCATTATTTTAGAAGAATAAAAGTAATGAACTGAATTCTTTTTACTCTTTAATGTACTCTTCGGATGATTTGTCATTTGCTTTCAGTAGACATCCGTCGATGTCAGGGGTCATGGATCTGCACTTCTGGTTCTGGAAATTCAGGTGGCACTGACACAGCAGTTATAGCTGTACAGGCTAACTCGGGAATAGCAATCCGTGTTGCAGTTGCTGCACTAATAGATGTAGTCGTACTCTGGCTTTTCTTTGTGTTTCCTTGGCGACTTCCTGGAGTTTCGCTACACCTCTCATGAGTCCTCTGCTGAGCTCATGCTTCCATGACCCGTGGTCAGTGGCGACTTCATCCCACTTTCCAGCCTCATGTCCAGCCCCTAAAATCCCTCGGAAGAGTCATTTTATGGGCAGTAGCAGCTGTTCGTGACTGGAGCTGGTCGTAGTAGTCGTACTTCACGTCCTGTGTGGAGCAGAGGGTGGGAAGGGCATAAGCTGATGGAAGTTGATAGCCATGTTGGATGTGAGGAGTTCTAGTTTGAGAAATCTCTCCACACTCACCAGGCTCTATCATTCTGATCAGTGAGTTCTTGTCAGCAAAGTCGACACCTTGCACTCTGGTTTGATCAGCTGAATTTCCCTCCCAGGAGAACCTGTAGTCTCTCTCACAGAGAGTAAGACATGTATCCTGCAGCGAAGGGATATCCTCTTACAGAGTTCATTCTGGATGACATTGGGCTTAAGGAGCCATATTCAAGCCGTTCCAGCCTTTGATGTCTACGTTTCACGAGTATTGAGGTACAATGGACCAGGCTCTTTCTTTCTCTTTCTAAGAAAGTCATACTCTTGCTCAAAAAGTGTTGAATTCAGGGTTACAAAATTCAAGGTACTAGAAAAGCTTTCAAAATGTGTTATGGTAGACATGTGTAGGTCATTTTCAAATTTTACGGATCAGTGACCAAAACGATGTCCGGTGACATTACCAATTTTGACTTTGTTCCCATATGAGCAAGCACAAACTTCAAACCTACTGACCGAAGAGTCCGTTATCGCCTCCAATTGGCGGGTCTCAACAGTCGTTTTTTTCTGTGGTAGACTACAGAATGACAAAACAGCATGACAGATATGGTTGGGGATCTGTGATGATGTGGGGCAGGATCACGTTTAACAACAAGACTGACCTCATTCGCAGGAATCGAACCCTTCTATTCATGGTGATGGCCCAGATCGTTAATCACAAGGCTAGCCCACTGCTCAAAGAATAAAGTAGTGATCAATTTGGAAATGAGTACTCAAACTACCATAATGTGTGTCGCCCTACCGTAAACTTCTACATAATGTGAGCACAACCCCTTAATAAATAGGCGCCAAAGTGTTTCGTACGGTAGGAATACTCAGAATAATCAGCCCAATATAACAAGTTTCACAGAGGTCATATACAAGGTATTGACTTCAGTTCTAGTTCACATACCTTTGACAACAGTCACCTTTTCTTGGTCTCTGTTGGACATGCTGGAATCTGTGGTTGGTCTTGTGGATTTTGCCTGTAGAATAATTTGTCACGATATATTAGTTCACAATGGTATTCATACGTCATATGAAGGAGGACACTACTTTCCAGATATATACATAGCTTAACGCCGGAGTGAGCATTGATCAAGCTATATGACTGCGACCGGATAATAATAAGGTCTGGACAATACAAGTCAACGTTTGATTTTTTGAGCAACGTCACCTCCGTCAGGGAACGGTAACATGCAATCCACGAAGACATTGAACCGATATTCCCGATCATTTAATCTCCTCTTGGGGGCACGTGTGGCCTAGTCGTCTAAGGCGCCGCTATTCGCTGTGCAGAGTTGCGTCCCTTGGGCACGCCACCTATGATTGTGGTTTCGAATCCCAGTTCACACCGATTCTGTTCCTAGGTTTGTCAGCACCATACCCGTGCTCGTGGGTTGCAACGAAATGGTAAAGGTCTGAGACTTGCATCACTTCGGGCTTTCCTCCCACATTAAGCTGACACGCCGTGGTATAACTGGAATACTGTTAAAAGCGGCGTTAAACCTATCTCACTCACTCACTCACTCACTCACTCACTCACTCACTAATCTCCTCTTACGGCACGCAAAGTTTATTGTGGAAGTCTTCTAACCAAGAATCCTCACGGAGCCCATAACTAAATTAATAAAGCTGCAAAACTCTTCCCATACTCATAGAAAATTTGCAATGATACCAGGTGTTC